AGGATCTCCAGCTTGTTGGATCAGACGTTGCCAGCCCAGCCCGTCCATGGATGTTACGCTGCTCCTGTTAAGATGTAGAACCCGGATGAGGGTGGCGCGAGCCCTAAATCGTGCCAGGTCTCGCATCGTGATGGCTCCGTTCAGTGTCTGATCCACATAGACAGTGAAGCATCATCAGCGAAATCGGACATACGTGGACAGCCAACAGTAGTAAGTAGTTTAAACCCACTCACCAAGCGGAAACGACTCGCCGCAGCGATCTCATCCTCGAATTCGGTGGCGCGCACACCGAGACGCAGCATCGCCGTCGGGGTAGGCTCCTGAGCTTCGTCCTCGTGTTCCACGTATCTACGTGAACCGGGGATGACTTCGCAGTTCGCCAGTAGCTTGAACAGAGGGTCAAGAACAGTCATCTCTGTCCATAGCGGGCGAACGACGGGATCGCGAAAGATGACACTGACCCGCCCTAGGCGGGCGAGCAGTCGTTTCACTTCCTTTGGAGTCCCAACAGTGGCGGCCGAGTTGACAATTTCTTCAACGATGTCAGGGATGAGGAGGGCGCGAGGGACGGTCATGGTGGTTGTAGTTGAAGTCTGGGCAGAGACTGGTCGCATTCCTAGGACAGGGTCACCGCTCTCGGTCGCTTAGCCGGCCGCGTAGTAATGGAGAAGCCACGACCCCATAGTTGCCGCTGCGTGTCACGTTTCCCTTTGCCCACAGACCAGGGATGAGTAGGTATGTTCAACGTTATGGTGAGAAACTGAAAGAGAATCGCTGGTGTAATGTGGACGCCATTGCATATAGTACGAATTTGAGCGGGATCAACATCAGCAAAGGTGGTCGTATCGAGAAGATCAATATTGTGAGGTTACTGAGGTCCGTGTTACAAAGACACCGTGAGGTATGCTCATACAGAGAACAATACTCGAACGCAAACGACCGAGCCGACATACTAATGTAACGCGGACCAACAACCAATCAGTGCAAGTGATATCAATTAGTACTGCTCATCCCGCACCTGGCGCAGTGTCTCAATCTGCTTCAGCACTTCTTCCCATGGCTGACACGTCCAGCGCGTCCTTTGACTGACTCCGACACGCCGCGATGCCAGGGACGAAAGACACCGGCGTTAAGGAAACATCGCATAGACGCTCTCCTCCTTGTGCGAAGTAGTACCGCAATTCCGCAAATGCTGGGGGACACATTCTCTGTGGCGGAGTCCTCACAGACGAGTAGCCCGGCAACGAAGCGCGCAAAGTGCAGAGCACTCCCGAGCGTGAGGTAGGCGAGTTGGGAGCCGCAGAGGCACCCCAGGCTGGCGCGTCACCTTGAGGTGCGTGGCGAGCGCCACGAAGTCTTCGTCCTACGCAGGGACAACATTCAGATAGGTGGCAATAACGTCTTCTCCTCGCGAGCAAGGCTCTTCGTGTGGAGAACGGCCCGCAAGAAGGGGCGGTGTACTTGCTGCACTGGCGTATTAGCCTCATGGCACGAATGCATGCGGAGTCGATATCAGGGTATACGCTGTGGAATAGGGCGAGGCAGCGCAGATGCAGTGACTCGAACCCCTTCTCGTGTGACATTCCACAGTGCGAGGAACACAAGGTGGTCAAACCCCGACCGGACCGTGTAAGAGATGTGGGCCTCGAGGTGGCATGCGCCGCGGAGCTTCGCCGTTTTGTGGTTGGGAGGCGCGCGAAGGCGGTGTGGGTCCGCGACCGCGGATCTTCTTTCCAATCGTAATCGGAGGAAACCACTTCAAGTCTTGTCACTCAGAGGACGGAGAGCGGAAATCCAGAAGTTTTCCAATACTTGGCCCGAGGATTTTTCTACAGGAGAATATGTCAAGACCCATCCACGTTCGGGAAATCATGCGGAGACTTACCGACCAAGTCGTCTACACTCAGCCGAATGAGGCAGTTTGCTCCAACTACGTTGAGCTCGTTGTCCTGCTTGTAAATCAAGGTTTCAGGTACACTTCGGCAGTTCCCTAGAACGGTCAGACATGAAAGCAGGCTCCCTAAACCCTGCACAGCCTGGTTGGCTGAAGACAGCGTTGACTGAATCGGCGAGGAACTCACGCAAAGATCAACACTGCCAGCGACGATCAGTCTTGAAGACACACAATCATCGAGAAAGACTCATAGCAACGGAACGATACCTGATACACATGACCGCACGCACGCACCGCTCTATCCCAACGACCTCGACCGGCCCCGAACGTACGACGGCCTCCTCAGCGGCGACCCATTCAACACGTTCGCCCCAGCCCCAAACACGCTCCCGTTCGGACTCGGCGGGACCCCACTCCCACTCCCACTCCCAATCCCAATCCCATGCCGCTGCATCCACGCCGCCTCCGCTGCCGGCGTCCCGCCAAACACACCCCGCGGCCACCTCTCCCGCTCCCTCTCCGCCCTCTCCCTTTCGTGCGCCACCCTCTCCCGTTCGCGATCTCCGCGCTCGATCTCGCGCCGCCTGCGCTCGACCGCGTTGTCGACCGCGCTCTTCAGCGGGCCCCCGTCCGCGCGCATCTGCGTCTCGAGTATGAGGTTCTCGAGCTCCGCCGCGAGCGTGCCCACCACGTCGTCCGCCGGCCGGCCGCCGTTCGGGAGCTCGCCGAGGAACGGGAACGTCGAGTCCTGCGCCGCGCCGTGCGCCGCGTGGAAGAGCGTCTGCACCTGCGCGTTCGCTGCGGGGAAGTCAGTCAGCACCAAGCGAGGGGAGGGGGTATGTGGACGGAGGGAGGAGGAGGGGCGCACCTTCCTGCGCGATGGCGTTCGCGTGCGCAACGATCTGCTGCGCCTCGTTCAGGATCCACTTCTCTGTCATCTCCGGTGTGGGCGACGGGAAGAGCACGGGGACGACGTTCGAGAGCGCAAAGGAGCAGAGCACGAAGAGCGAGTGCAGGAAGCGGATGTGCTGGTACGCGACGCGGCGCGGCCAGAAGAACGTGAAGAGGGTCGTGTGCGCCTCGTCCGTCGGGTCGGAAAAGAGCGCAGAGGAGAGCGTGGAGGAGGCCTGCGGGGCGGGCGAGGGGTTGAGGATGAAGAGCATCTCGTAGACCGCGATGAGTGCGAGGAGGATGTAGCGCCACTGGTGGGGACATGTGAACGCTTCTCCAGGAAAGACATGGGAGGAGACTCACGTATGCGACGGGTCCTGGTCGGCCTGACGCCGAGAGAAGGAGGAGAATGCAGACAGAGGTGATGTAGAACCCGGAGGCTTGCATGAGTCCATGACGGATATACTCTCTGAGGGTCGTACACTGCGACCACTCCAGAGCATCCGGTCCGAATCTATGCGACCTGAGCCATGGTAGACAAGGGGGAGACTTGGATGGAACGCACCTATCATACGCAAAGCGCTTCACAGGAGACTTCAACGCCTCGTACGCATCCCGCACCTGGATGAACACCGCCTCTCCCTGTGGGCCGACGCGATCTGGGTGGAACCTTCTCGCAAACTGCCTGAAGGCCGCCTTCAACGTGTTATCGTCGGCCGTCGGCTCGACCCCAAGCATCTGGTAGTAGTTCGGCTCCACGGTCGTCGCGGCATCGTAGAAGGTGTATACCAGGTAGGTGACGACGACAAAGAGGTACGTGAAGCGATAATTTCGAACGAATTCGGGGTGGCCGGGCGGGGGTGCTTGTCGTCCGAACAGGCGGTGATAGGCGGAGTGGATAAACGAGAGGAGTTGGCGGGTGGCTAGGCTCGGGAGGTAGTTCCACCCCGCATACTTGAGGAGTCCGAGCAACATAGCCATTTATGTGATTACTACAGAGGAGCGATGTGAGCACAAGACTGACTGATGGTGCAACCGACCGTGTTGAATGCATGTCCGTCCTCCATCCCACCGTCCATCCATCCCACGGACATACACTCCTCTCACCATGGCACAAAAGCTCACCTGGAAAGACACACAGTGAATCAGCATCTGAGACGAAAACAAACACCAGCGCAAAGAAAGTCTCAGGACGAGCAACACCCGCCACGCATATGATCTCATCTCCCCACCGCAACACGCACACGCTCAAACGCGCCTCCACGCCCTCCCGCGCCCCCACCAGAACCCACAGTCCCCAGCAGCACAAGCCCCCGCTCCTGCCACTTGTACGCGCAGCACCACGCGCCCCAGGCATTAATCTCGAGCCCGGACGCTATCAGCCACGCGCCCCGCTGTTCACAGCGAGCATCTCTCACGTCCACACAACAAAAAGTAAAATCCACGTCTGAGACCACCTGGGACGGCGTCGAGCTCCTCCGCCCAGGCTTGGCTTCCGGACGTCTGCAGCCGGGGAGCGCGCCACGCAAGCAAGCAGGCCCCCCACCCGCGCTGTCGACTCGGCCTTTGTCCACGCGCCCTGAATCCTCCAGGCCCGCGAACCTACGTTCGAGCCGCACATCCCCCCTCCAGACCGCGTAGCACGGAGGGACGGGACGATGCTGTCCGTCCGGCCTTAAGGCGCGCCACGGTGGTCTCGAGCACTGGCGCGCCGGGGTACGGACGCTTTTCGGGGGCTCGGGGGCGTGCCTTCGCGCCGGGGTCTCGTGAGCCGATGACAAGGACGGCGAGAGAGAAGAGGAAGACGCGTCGTCGTCGCGGTGCGGTGCGGCGGGGTCGACCCTTTTACTTGGACATCCTCGACGGTAGATATTGGTGGAAGCTACACTCACCTTTCTGTGAACGCCGCTGCGGTTGTTGAGTGATTGCCCTCGCAAAAATGCTGGGATGATTAGCGTCGCGTCATCCCAAAGGGGGGAAGAGGGGGATATGAGTGAAAGGTGCGAGGGAGTGCTGGGTGAGCGACACTGGACTGGCGCTCAACTATCTTTGGCGTCAACAGGACGCCACCCACTATCCATCCTCCGGCTTGTATGAAAGCTCCTGGTCTTGTATCCAGTGTAAGTACACCCCACAACTGCGACAGTGCGATTGCCAACTGGACATCCTGCTGTGTATCCGCGTGTCAAGCAAAAGGTCAAAGAATCCCTATGCAAGGTGCTACCAGGGTTCGAACCTGGGTTTTGGGAAAGATAGCTACGGCCCAAGAGATCAAAATCCCAAGTGATAACCACTACACTATAGCACCGCAACTGTGACAGCCAAAACTATATCCATACTGAAAAAAGGTCACTGTTGGATCTCAGTTCTCAGGCTTCACACACTGTCCACAGCTGCTCCGAGTCTCCGACCGCTATGCAGAAATACAAGCTCGTCTTCTTCACCCCCCGCCCCTCCACCCAACCCGTCCTCCAGCACCTCTTCGCCCGCTTCCCGCTCCACGTCGGCCGCATCGGCGCGTACGGTGGCTGCGCATTCGTCTCCCCCGGCACCGGTGCGTTCCCCCCCTCCCCCTCCTCCTCCGCCCCTGCACCGATGCTGATACGAGCGGTCAGGCCAATTCCTCCCGCTCGAGGGCGCGAACCCCGCGATTGGCGAGGTCGGCCGGCCCGAGCACGTAGAGGAGGACCGCGTCGAGGTGCTCGTCCTCGCTCGCGCCCCCAAGGATTTGGACTTGGGCTCGGGCTCGGGATCGGGCAAAGATGGGGAGGGAGGTGGGGTGGAGATGCGCGCGGTGCTGCAGGAGCTGAAGAAGGTGCGTCCTCGGTTTCTGAACGAGGGGAGGAGGGGAAGAGAGAAGAGGAGGCAGGGCGGGGGAGCGCGTGCGAGTCTGTCGGACCCCGTTTGACGCTGTGCAGGTCCACCCGTACGAGGAGGTTGCGTACGACGTGTATCGGCTGGAAGCCTTTTAGCAGCAGCGGCGTGCGCGCGGGGTCCAACTGCCCGGGTTTGGCGATGGAGATCTCGAGGTCGGAGCGAGGGCGCATGTGACATACGCATGATGTGTACTACATACTACGAACGGGCATACAGACAGTCGCACTCTGCGAGTGCCTGTATTGCGCTGGTGGATCGACGACTGGCACCGCGTCGCGTTGGAATTGGGAGCGACGGCAGAGACAAAGCCGCGAACGTGCGAGGTGCGTCCCTCTCTTACTCACTTTTCCCCTCCATCTCGTCTCATTTTCATCGTCTTGCTCCTACCAGGCCGCCGTTGGACCCCGTATGTCGTTGTGATTGTGTATCGAACCCCACGGTCCGACTATCAAAGACTGGGCAACTGGCAATGCATCGTCGCCATGCTCGATCCTCCGCAACTCCCGGAAGCCCCGACGTCACGCGAGCATTCCAACGTTCATGCGTTCCCCGGTGCACCCCCGCTCCGAGTCCTCCATGTATGTATGCATCCACCTGTCCGTCTACGGATCCGAGTTCGGACCTCCATCGCCTAACGTTGACGGCCGTGGTGTGCGCCGCACCCAAATCCACATACAAATATGACTGACCGAACGGTCCCTCGGATATCGATGCGCGAACCGCGGAGTCCAGATGAAAGCACTCGAATACGCGACTCGCGAGCCGCCGCAATGAGTATTCACCCACACTGTGGCCTGATCACCGTCGACATCATCAAGCGGCGGCATAAAGCAGCGTCCGACGAACACAGGACCCAGGGGGTACGAATACTGCCAGGGGCCTCAGCGGGCGCGCTCAATGACATCTCCTTGGCAGTTGTGGCTAACGCGTCATGCCAACGGCGGTAAGGTACTATGAGACCGCCCCTAAGCTTCAACAAGTCCTTGAGGAATCAGGCCTGCAGGATCGGAGGGGTCCTCAATCACTGGCTTAGTGTCGTTAGCTCACCATAGTCACTTCTCGAGGCTCGCGCTCGCGCTCCGAAGCCGATGGGGGCTTTAGCGCGCCTTGTGGCCTCCAGTGTCGTAACGTCACTGACTCACCTAACTACTTTTTACTTAGCGAGCACATGTAGGCGCATACGTAGTCATGCCATGAACGCCAGGGTGGCATGCGCAGGTTCGGGTCCGAGCTCAGGCTCGCTTGCGTACGAATATTGGCGGGTTACGTGGGCCTGGCGGGAGGCAGTGCGTACACGTAGTACGTAGGACGCAGCACGCCGCCCTGTGATATATGCCTGCCAATGAGGCAGGCCTGAGGGGTCTACAAGCCCCGGGAGACTGTCCTCGAAACTCTCCCAGCATGCGAGTCCTCACAACACCAGTCTCGATGTCGACCGCAGAGGCTGCTCCGAGCATGGAGGACCCTCAGGAGGACGAGCATTGCAACTTCAAGGCTCTCGATCATGATCCGAGAATCACAAGCTCGCAGGGAGATGTCAGATGAGAGCTGTGTCGGCGCTAGCCGTATAAGGCTGGCGTACCCCACGTCACGCTGCCCCTGGACAACTCGTCTTGTTCTCAGACTCAGAGTCGACGACGACGATGGACACGAGACTGAGCAGTCCGAGTACGCTCGAGGGCGTTGTCTGCCAGCGAGCTCGGTCACTCTCGGGTCACTCAGATCCGTCGAGGCCGTCTACGGTCTTTGAGTTCAGTCCAGACTCCAAACTAGCGTGATCAAGAGAGGATGGAGAATCTGAACCCAAGTGTCGCTGTCAGCGGGGTGGCAGCGTGCGCCCCGATCTCGGAGGAACCCTATACATATGCAGAGATCGCTGCACGCTGCAGGTGGCAGCAACAAGAACCGCACCTGCTATAAAGGCGAGCCTCGCGGCGCGGAGCCGTCGCCCGTCGCCCGTGACACCGAGCAAAGTTACTGTATAGAGTTTTCCTTGGCCGCCCGCTTCCCCCCCATCGATCCTCCTCGACTTGCGACTTGCTCTCTTCCAGCAGCCAGCTCTTTGCTCTCGCTCTTCCCGCTCCCGCTCTCCCGCTCATCTCAGCCCTCTTTCCCATCCCCCATCCCCACACAGTCCCACTTCTCTCACTCGTAAGAAGCACAGCGAGGATGCGCGCGTTCGACAACCTGTACGAGGAGCCCGCGTTCGAGGCGCCGTCGGCGAAGGAGCAGTCGGTCGTGTACGCCGCGCTGGGCACCGTCGCCGTCGCCGTCGCGTCCACCGTCGCTGCGATCCAGTACTCGTCCGGGACACCCGGGTGGCTCTCTGTCGCGTACGTCCGTACTTTCCTCCCTGTGCGTCGAGGCTTGCGCTGATCTGGCTCCGTCCCCCCCCATTCCCCACATCCCCACATTTCCGTTCACGCACGATCGTTGGTTCGTGTTCTTGTGTTCTTTGCTCCGATGTCAACTCGTGCTTGCGCATCGCATGGACGATGGACTGGATGGGTGGACGAACAGGCTTGCAAGCAGCCACTGATCGGGACAGCCTGCGAGTGGCTCGGGGTGCGCGGAGACTGACCGTCCCGCAGGCGGAGGCTCGTCGTGAAGAGCAACAAGGTTCGTCGCGGTTGCCTGTGATTCTTTCGCCAGCCCCCCGGGGTCCGCCTCGATGGGGCACTGGCCCACCTTTCCGAGCGAGCTTCTGTGACGGCGTTCTCACCAACGGTGCTTCTCCCATTCAGCCTCGTCCCTGCCATCCACGTCGACCCCTCTTCTGCCGCGCGTCCGGCCACCGTGCGTGCCGTCCCACTGCATGCAGCCGCGGAGGGATGACGTCTTCGATGTGCGTCTCGCCTGTCGATGCCTGCCCACCACGCGCCGCCAACGTTCTCCCGATCTTCGTCCTCCATTCCATTCGTCCAGTTGTCAAGCCCACATCTCCCGCCCGCTCACTCCCCGCCCCTCGGACGCTCATCCATCGCCTGCGGTCGCCTCTGTATATGCCTCATGTCCACCCACCATTCGCCATCCAACATCAACATCTACGATTCGTTTCGTTCATCCCGCGTCCATATTTATTCATACCCAGGTTTCGTTCTGGCGTCGCTCCCCTCTAACATAGCTTTGCGCACCCCCACCACTCTCGTTTGGGCTCTCTCTCGTCTCCTACTCGGTCCCGCAGTCCGCTCCGCACATCATCTGTATTATGATCCCCCCAGCATCATCGCCATCTCCACCCACCCATCCTCCTGATTATCGGCTTGCAACGTCCCCAGTCATCCTCCTCATCGTAACCACAACCACACACGTTTCCCCACATTCCTTGGTTTGCCCCCACTGCCTTTTCCCGGATCCCAAGCTTGATTGTCCGGATCACACATCGTTTATCGCGGACTTGGCTCTCTCTCTCGCGCGCCCGCGCGCTGTAGGATACTTACTTATCGCGAGTGCTCGTGTGGAGTGCTTAGTTGTACATTTGTCGCTGTGTATGCATACCGATTGACGTTCCATTCCTTTCCCGTGCGCACACCAAGCACGCTCTCGTCGGCACCGATGTCCAACAACCGACCGTCAACGACCCTGGGGTGAGCTTGAGCACATCGTTCTAACCGCGGTGCATACGCTGACTAGCTACAAGGTTCGGGCACAGTGATCTCGTACACCGCATGTCTGACACTTCCATGGACATCCTCCAGACGCTGACTCGCGCGAGAATCTCCGGCCCGAGGCGTTCGCGCACCAGCGACGCGGACGGCCATTCCCAGTTTCCTCATCCACTGCACAGAATCGGCGGTTGGAGTCGGCGGACAACCGGCTCCCGAGCTTCAGCGTGCACCGTGCGCCGGCGTCTTTAGAAAGAGCCTGAGCTGCTTGATACGCACGCGAGGTAGGGTGGCGTCGACGTCAAGCACTGTGACGCGCTGTCTACCGCCCGCAGTGACGGTGGAAGACTCGTGCGCGACACCATGGCCAGCGCGTTACCGGTACCATGCGCATCCATCGATTGAAAACGTTCAATCTTTCAAGGTGTTTTGTCTTGAACGTTCCCGCCCTGTGCACATGCCACGCGGACCGACAGTTACTCGGCACTGGAAATCTAACTGGCAAGCAGTGAGTGGGTCGCGGCGGATCCTCCCTCCGCCCCATCTTCCCTTCCACAGCTCGGACGTCCTTGGTGTGGTACCGGTGTGGACGCGGCGGTACAACTCGACGCGCCGGTGGGACTATATCGCACAGCTCTTCGCGTTCAAGTTCCGAGGCTGAGGCAAGGGATTTCTCGTTCTCTCCAGAGAGTGGTAGTCGACACGCCCATGCCGTGCTTCACTTCCAAGGCATTCCCGGGAAGCGGACCCCAAGTACCCGCTGAGCTGTCCTCCACGGCCGTGGAGTACCGCCGCGGGGGCAGCCAGGCGCATACAGCGAGGTCCA